TATTTCCTGCATTAGAAATGAACACTGAGATTTAAAAAGTATTAAATCATTTAGAAATGAAAATAATTTTTGTTGTTAATCCTTACCCGAGGATATTTTTCAATTGATTTTTAGAGAGAGTGGAAGGGAGGGAAAGAAGGTGGGGAAAGAGAGAGAGGGGAAGAGATTATGTGAGAGAGACACATCCATTGGTTGCCTCCCGCCCTGCCCTGACCAGAACCAGGGATCGAGCCTGCAATCCAGGTACATGTCTTTGATCGGGAATCAGCCCTTGACCCTTTGGACATCAGTCTATGTGGGAGTTGAGCCTTTCCCTCCTTTCCTCGGCGTGGGCCCCATGCCTCCTCCTAAGCTATTTAGATGCCATGTGTCTGTCGTGCCAGGAAACCCCTAAAAGGCACGGGATTCTCAAGGTCTCCGGCTGTCACAGGCGCCACATCTTCCGCCGCCTGCAGGATGCACCTGTTGGTGTCTGTTTTAACAGACGGGGGTCGGGGCTGTGGGAAGAGAAGCTCCTGACCCACCCAGGGTCCCGAGAGAGGCCTCGGGAAGTACAATACATTTCAAAAAAATGCGTTTCTTCACAGAGCAGGCATATCATGGAGAAGTCGGTGAGAAAGATCGTCTCCTTGCTCACGAGGTCCGATGACGAGGCGGAGAGGCTCCTGTCCGAGAGGGCCCCGCTCACGGCGCATGACTGCTACCAGGCCGCCGTGTCCCACTTCCGCATGCACTGCTTCAACTGGCACTCCCCCACGGTAAGCCGGGCCGGGCCGGGCTGCTGCGGCTACACCCAGGCTCCCCTGGGCCAGCGGGGCCTTGCCCTGCATCCTGACCCAAAGCTACAGTGCTGTCCATGGAACCTTGTCGCAGGGTCCACCCAGGCTGAGAACAGTGGGCTCATTCAGAGGCCTTCCGCAGGGGTGAGAGGGAGAAGGTTGTCAGACTCGCTGACCATAAGTGCTGGCCCCGTGGGGAGGAGTTCCCCAGCCGTCGATGTCTCCACTCCCCTTCTCTTCATACCTCTGCCCCTGCCACACCCTCCCTCACCCCTGCCCTCCACACCAGCCACACAGGTTCTTCTCCCTTTGGATCTGCTCTGGCCGCTCCCCAAGAAATACTGTCGAAGCCAGGCCCTGGCCACGGAGGAGGGGGGGTGCCGAGGGTGGAAGGTCCCAGCCAGCCTCTCCGATCAGGACCACGTGGTGCTTGATCCTTTCAGGGAAGGGTCAGCAACCTGGCCCACAGGTCAAGGCCTGCCCGCAGCCCGTGGGTCCCCTCCACCCCCCTGTTTTGGGACTCAGCCGCATTTGGTGGTCACCTTGCACTGCAAGAGAGCTGAGTGGTCATACAGCCCGCAGACCACAATACCCGCTCTTCTGGCCCTTCACAGAGAGAGCCTGCCCCTCCCGCTGGAGCTGTGTCCTTCAGTATGGTAGTTACTAGCCTCCTGTGGCTACTTAAACTTAGATTTAAAATAGTTCAGATGAAGTAACATGTGAAGCCCAGTTCCTTAGACGCACCAGCCACACTTCATGTGTCCAGTAGCCACACGTGAGCAGTGGCTCCCGCACGGTGGACCCTGCAGCACGTTTCCATCGTGGCTGAAGGCTCCGTCGGGCTGTGATGCGCACACCGTGGTCACGTGGGCTCCCAAGGAGGGGGTCCTGACGGGAGGTAGCTCTCCGGTAGTAGGAAGCTTTTGTTTTTTTCACTTATTTAACACAGTACTCTCCTGATTCATTTAACAATTTAAAACTTCCCATGTATCGAATGAATATTCTTTGCGATGCTTTTTGCCTCTGGAATTACACACAGTGAATCTCCTCCTTTTCCTCGTGAGAGTTCTCCGATTCCCCTGAAGTTTTCTTCAGGACGAGCATCCCCGGGTATTCGGGTCTTAGCCTGTTAGAGTCCAGCTTGGCATTCACTTACCGTCCATCTCCCTCATCTGCGAGTCCCTCCCAGAATGAGGTTCCAAGCAACAGAAGCTGGTGGCCAGGGGAGGTGCTGGGTGCCAGAGGGAGCAGGGCCTGAGGGCTCTCCACCAGGAGTCCTCACCTGGGCTGCGTGCTCTCGGGGGCCTGTCCACCCACACAGGTGCCTTGGGGGGATGGTTCATAAATCTTACCAGCTTATCAAAAGGTGGGGAGGGGGTCCATGACCCCAGAAAGGTCAAGAATCAGTGTTCGAGATGCTTTACCTCTGTCACCATGAAAGTGAAGAGCTGATGGCGTGGTGCGGGGATGGCTGACTGTGTCTCTGGTCTGTTTCCCTCCAGTACGAGTACGCTCTGAGACATCTGTACGTGCTGGTCAACCTCTGTGAGAAACCCTACCCGATCGACAGGTGAGCCAGCGCATGGCACTTACAGGTCATTGTCGCTCAGAGCAGAAGGGAGGGGCGCCGCTCTCCCTCCTGCCAGTGGGCAGCTGGGCTTCTGCCTCCACCTGTAGCCACACGTGACCCGCGGAAGCAGCAGAAATAGTTGCATTCCCCGTGGCCGTCGTGAGGCGGGCCCGTCACAAGTGACTGCCTGCTCCGTGCTGGGCTACGTGGTCTCTGCGTCTCCAGAGCTGACCTGCTTCACCAACTCCTTCCTGTTTCTTGCAGAATAAAATCGTCCATGGACAAGGTGTGCCTTGGCTACTACTGAAACGCTGCTTTTCCAAGCGTGAACACCGTCCCTGGGAGTGTGCGCTGACCGGAGGTGGATAGAGCGAGGGGAGGCCGGGCCTTTCTCGAGGGCCTGCTCGCCTTTCCCCCTCCCCGTCTCCTGCAGCCCCTGTGATGCTCTGAAACTTCAGGGTTGGCCGGGGAGAAGGGCCTGTTGGCTTCCCCGGAGGCTTTTTTCCTGTTTGTGTTAAGAGGCAAGGAGTTGGCTTGGGCTGCTGTAGCCAGCGAGAGACTCTGGGCTGCGGAGCTGGAAGCTGGAGCCTCGAGTCTTCAGGATGGAAAACTACTTCTAGAAAATAATACAAGTTTTGATTGCTTTTTATGTTTTATTCCTCAATAATGGACAATAAAGGTTGTAACTGAAGCCGAGTGTTAATTCGGGGCCCTGGCCCCCCCTCCCTGCCTCCCTCCCGGCCGCCCTGCGCCCGCCCCTCTGCTGGCCGGCACCGGGCAGCCTCCTGTGCCTCCGCCGCTGCTCTTCCTCTTGCCTCAGTGCCTTGCCCTCCACCTCACAGAGCCTCACCGTGTAGCTGGAAGCGCCGCCTCTCCCCCGAACCTTCTTCATCTTCCTCCTCTCCCCACACATCGAGTCCTCTCTCCTGTCTGCGCCTTCTTTGCATCTCTCAGCAGGTGTCAGGGTGGGCCCTATACCAGTTGGGGGTGTGTGTGGGGGGGTGTGTGTGTGGGGGGCGTGCCCTAGGGTTATCCCAGCTCCGCCAGGGCAAAGGCGGCCTGCCTTTCGTGTCCCTTGGCCGGTGCCTACGCAGGGAGTGCTCACAGTGGGTTAGTTAAAGACATGTAAGAGGAACAGTAACTGCAGCCACACAGCGGGCTTTATGCAGCAATGAGAAGGAAAGGAGCCGGTAACAAGCGCACATTAGGCCACGTGAGAGGAGCCCGTATGCGCGATCCCATTGATGCCTACAGAGACGGCGAGTGGTGCCGAGGCCCCGGAAGAGAGGAAACGAGACATGGCGCCTGCTGGTGCATGCGATTCCTTCTGAGGGATGGAAATGCTCTGAATTCATTGTGGAGGC